AATGAAAATTACCTTTTCTAGAAAAAGAAACTGGCATCCAGGCAGTGAATTTCCAAGTTTAGACTTGATTTTTGCTATGAATAAAATGGAATTGAATCATTTTTTTAAAATGGATTTGCAATTATATGATAGGGCAGTTACATAATCTACATTGCAGATGGCTCTAGTAAATTGAGTCTGTTCAAATGAAAATGTTTTACTTGTGGCAAGCATAAGTATCTCGGGATAAGCGAATGTGGCTTATCTGAAAATAAGGATACTGTGCTAAAAGTTGTAAAGCTAGAAAGTAATTAGATATTTTAGTTTTAAAGTAATTTAGTGAGAATATGTGATACTGTTTTTTGGCCACAAGTAAGTTTCTTCATTGGCAGAAGAATAGGAAGTAAATTGTAATTTTATAGTGACATAAATATGACAAGCACTGAATTCTGCACATAGTTTGGAGGGATAGTCTACTTCTTTTTAAAAGGGTTTTTGAGAATTGGTCAGAAGATCATCAAGCTAATAGAACTGATTGAGTAGTAACCAAAGTAATTAATGAGCAAGATCCGTAAGAACACTGACTTCTTTAATTTCACACAAAGAAGTCTGGGATGCGTCCAAGTTCCCAATATTTCCTTCTTACATGCTTACACCAGAGGGCTTCAGTGGTTGAAGCCAGGCTGATTCAAAATGAAAATAAAATACATGCTCTTAGTTGGTAATAAGTGTTGGAATATCCTGTCAACAAAAGGGTGAATTCTTCATTTCCTAGAAATGAAAGTTTCTTTGTTTATCTAACTTTAACTAATTTTCTTAGAGATTTACATAAAACCACTTACATTTATATGTCTGTTATGAGGAAAAAACCCTCGGATACTCTTTATTAGTAACATGTTATTGTCTGACTTTTCTTCTGGAGATCTAGAGCCATAAAGAAGTAATGCAAATTACAGAATTATGTTAGATTATTGGTTTTAAGCAAAAGCAGTAAGACTATTTTGATTAAAAAGCAAAACAAACCCCCAAACATTTGGTACTTGAAACTGTTAATATTAAATGACTTCAGAAAGACTGGGAATTTTAGATTTAATACTCTGTATCTGCCTTGTGGAAGTTGGTAACAATGTGTTAAACACAATTTTGGGGTATTCTGGAGTTTTTGTCTAATCAGAAGATCACGTGTTGTAGGTAGAGTAATAACTATTCTTGCCATGTTAAATAAAATGAAATTGATCACAGCTGAAACTCCAGCTTCCTGTCCTGGATGTATACTTAACAGGAGTTGCTGTGGTGCTTTCATCATATGATGTGGTAGGATAAAATGTTAAAGGCTGTTTTTGACATCTGCTATGAACACACTTCTGCAATTGGCAACTCTGCCTACATATCTGACAATGTCACAAATTCCTTTCTACAAATATTTCCTCTTTTACTAGCATGTAGTCATGCAGACAAGTTCTGTAAATCTAGAGAAAGCCCAAAAATCTTCTGGCTTGTGTATTTTTGAAGCACGTTTAATATTTTAAAATGTTACAAGGAGAAACAGAGCAGATGCAGTGGTAATAAAGGAAACAAACTTCTCTTGAAGCATTTTGGAGGTAATGTCTTTAAATGTGCAAATAGAAGAACAGAGATCCTCAGAATATGTCTCAGGCCATTACAAGTGGTGCTTTTACTTCCAAATTCCCAGTGCTTTTTTTTCTCTTTGTATGCTCAGGTGGGGTGTTTTTTGTTTTGTTGATTGGCGGTTTTTTTTGAACTTACGTTTCTGTGTATCTGTTGGATAACTTAATTTGCTGTTCCGTGTACATCCACATTTCCATGTGTAATTCCACCATACCAGAAAGTGGAGGCAGGAAACTTGAATTCTGGGCTTACAATATCCCCTCACACATACAAATATTTCTTCTTATACATTATCTGATAAGCAGGGGTGATCTTTTTAAAATTAGAAACATTATCTTGTACCATCTTCTGATATAGTGTGCAACGTGGTCTGTACTCCTTCATTAGTAGAAATAAGATACTCTTGTGCATTTTTTTCTGAAACGAGTGAGGTTATGCATGTTAAGTGTGTTAGTATAGATATGGGTATGATTGTATGTAATTAAAAAAAATGGAAGCTCTGGTCTTCAGAAAAGTGAATAGTTAAACTGCATTTTTAGGGGTTATGTTTTCATTATTGTCACTTCTAGGAAAAGAGACTAGTGAAAATGCTGTTCAAAATGCTACATTCAGTTTCTTTCCATTTTACTGAAACAGTAAGCTGTGGTATGGTTGTTTTTTTGTGTTTTTTTTTTTTTTTAACCCAAAACTGTGGTGGATGCAGTTATGAATCTGTGCCCTGAGTGTGAGTAGCACTGTAGTAAGGTACAAAAAACTTGAGACTTGATGTACTCCAAAAAACTCCCAGAGTTAGTGATGTTTTAAACTTAGATTCGATATACAGAGAAGGAAGGTGAAATCCAGTATTTCATTAGGGTATTCTGAAAATAGATTTTGTTAGTAGTTCTGTATATTACAGTATTGTAACAATGGACCCCATAGAAAATGCTCACATGAAAGGAAAAATATGTTTTCAGAGTATTGAATATTTAGAGTAAATGGGACACAGAGTACATACTGAAGAGAAAAAAAAATATGTGGAATAACCAGCTTCCTTATGTGAACAAAATTTATTCTGCTGAATGAGGAAGAGGTCCTGTGCAGATGGAGAAGTGCAAGATGAATAGAGGCAATGATATCAAGTTCCTTTGACATATGTAGTCACACAATGCATATGTACAAAAAGGCGAAAATAAAATTGGATAATAAGGCTTTAAATATTGATATTTGCAACCTACTGGATTGCTTGGCTTCTTAAGGCATGTGTTTATATAATTCTATGAAGTCCAGAAGTGCAGAATATTTTCATACTGATTTTTAGAATGTATGTGCTATTCGTTGTATTGATAAAGTTTGTAAGTATATATGAAGATGTATGAACATGAAGATAGAATGTGCCATTGTTGCTAGCATAATTGTAAATGCAGTGCTTGAGAATACTAAAGTATGTTTCCAGTGTTTTGATGACTGCAAGTATTTTGTCAAATGTTCTTTCAGGAAGCACTTTCTAATGAACGGGGTTATCTTACGTGTACTGCTAGCTTAAACTGAAAGTTGGTTATGTCTCTACTAAAGGTTTAGATTAGCGGATTTGTTAAACATGTTTAACTGATTCTCCTGCTGCGCTAGGGGAAGCCTTCTTATATGGACATGCTTATTATGCTTCTATTCAGGGAAAAGAGCACAATGGATTTTTTTCAGTTAACGTAGTTTTGCTGGTCTAGGCTGTGCGCATCAGGAGACCTTTGTTGAATAATTGCAGTAACAGACTAGGTATTAAGGCAGTCTTCTCAGTGCAATGCATGTGACTTTTAGTCCTAGTTTTCAAGGCATTTGTGGCCTCAGTGTCACCAGCTGTCTGAGGAAATGTGTACTATAAATATGTGTTCCTGTCAGGATTTCTGGATTGCTGCTGTAGAAAACTCAACAAAAATCAATTTTTCAACACATTAGTACAGTCTTGATTTTTTACAGTTTTTATGAACAGCAAATATAACATATTCCTGAAGTGTTTTGTGTTGAAGAATGTGACAATTATTTTACCTTAGGAAAAATGTTAGACTTACAAATAAAGTGTCAAAGCAACAGTTCATATTTTAGACTCCATGCGAGATTTGAAAACTAATGTAACTTTAACACTGAATGTGCCTTTTGTCCTTCTAGTAAGTTGTGTTTTATACCTGTTTACAAAGCATTGAACAGATTGTTAACTGAACAAACAGTGGGATATTTTTGTTCTTATATATCGTGTTTGGAAATGATGTGTGTTTTGTTATCAACCTAAATTTATTTTAATAATTTTCTAAGTTAAAAAAAATCCCAACGTCTAAAACTTAATATGAGTTTGTTAATATAAAACTTTAAATGTGAAATTGTGTTTTTATTTGGGGATCTTTTTCTTCTAAATTGTTTTAATGATTTGAAAGTAAGAACAGAATTTAATGCGTTCTTTCTGGATGATCATTTTTTGAAGGAATTTAAGAAGTTGAGTGGTGTCTGGTGTGACACTTGAGAAGTGGAATCAGAAGTGAAATCTTTATAATAGGTTCCCCTTGAGACTTCTTAAAATTCCCTTTTGTCTGACCTTAGGATTGCGTTAAAAAAATTGCTGTCCTTCATATAGTTTGAATTAATAAATCTCAGTCTACCATAGGTTTTCCTAGAAATCCAGATTAGAAAAAACCCTACAGACTTCCACCCTGGGGTGTTTAGATTTTTAATGGACTAATTCACATTTAAGAGAAATGGTTTCTTTTATATGCTGTCTGAACAGATATCAAAAATAGTAGAGGAAGAGAAGACAGAAGTATCGCAGTGCTAATTTAAGTAGAAAATGTTTGTATTTGGGGGAAAAAAAATAATACTAACAAGTGATGACTATAAAATTTCTTATCTATGGTATTTTTATTTTGATGGTGCATCTAAAACTTAAATTGCTGTCACTTTAATCTTGAGGATTCATTAATCTCTTGGATTTTTAAATTATTTCTGTAGGCAATAAAGTGGTTTTATTCCTGAATGTAGGTTTGCCATAGCCTTAATTTAAAAAGTTTAAATCCCTATTCTTTGGAAAAGGAGCTTATTTAAACCTTTGCTCATACCTTTTACCTTATTTCAATGTACTGTTACAAAACCTGACATATAGGTTCTGGTTTTTATTTTTTTATATAAAAGCTTTAAATCTTTCTTAAATCACACAAGTAGTATTCATAAAATAATTAATGAAACTGGTACTACCTTCATTATGCCTGTTGTATCTTTTGTCTGTAGATTTTCATGAGGTTTTATTGTTGCTTTTGTATGAAAAATGCTTTTTAAACTTCACATCAGCTTGAAATTGGGTAGAAATTTTATTGGTACGTTCATTAATCTTATTTAACCCCTTATAATTACTTTGTGTCTTCATTTTACAGATGGAATACCTCAGGTTTACTATTTTGGTCCATGTGGCAAATACAATGCTATGGTGCTAGAACTACTTGGACCTAGTCTGGAAGATTTATTTGACTTGTGTGGTAGGACATTTTCTCTTAAAACCGTTCTTATGGTAGCCGTACAGTTGGTAAGTAGAATAGATGTTAATTTGAGTGTTCATTAGAGTAACTAAGTCAGTCTTCAATGGATTAAATGCTTATTTCACTTAAGAGATTTGCACTTCCCATGTCTTAAATTGATGTTGGCTTCTAAAGAGCCTGTGATACAGTTTTAGCAGGAAGTTTGTCTTATGTCACTTTCATTTACATTGTTCTAGTTTTTCAAGTATCATTGCATGAATGTAGTTTATTGTGTCTTCTGAGTTCTCGTAATCACAACCTGAAATAATGAATTTTAGTTTGACATACTCAATTAAAACCTTCGTGAAATAAAAATAATTTTAATCCAGGAAAGCAGTTGAATGATGGGACTCCTGAATAGCATAAATATTTTTCCTGGGCATTCTTAGAAAGAAAAGCAAGCAAACACATGAAAAATCCCTCAAACCTTTCTAGAAAAACTAAGATAGCACAAAATTATTCAATGAAGACTTACGTTACTTTTTTTTTTTTTACAATTTCCTGATTTGGTTCCCCCCACTAGGATAAGCGGAAGTGGAAAGAGAGAGAGAGAAATAAGGCTTTGCATGTTTACCTTGCTAAATAAGTGTTTTAAATTAGTCCGTATTACATATTAATGATGCTGAACCTCCACTTCCCTAAATAAGTAGTGATATTTTTACCCATGAGGGGTGAAAATAGCTGTTTCAAACATGACTGTAATTGTATAACTGGTCTGCAACTACAGAAATATAGACATATTCAGCTTATTTACAGCCAAAATGACAAAGTTCATTTTTTTAAAATGCTCAAACCATCACAGATCCAAAGATCATCTTCAGTTAATACTTGTTGTTCCTTTCTGAATATATAAATTTTGGTAGAAAGCAATCCAGCTAGAATGGAGGCTGTATGCATAGTGGTGAACTTTTAGTGTTTTTCTCATTTATACCTGTAATATGGAGTAGATCTACATGGAACTTTGCTGCTCGCTCCTTGAGTGACATAATTTCTGGTTATAGTTTTAATGCAGACAAAGCTTACTTGGTGCCAACTGTTTTTAAAGAGGATAACTTTTGTTACAAACTGATTCATGTCTAATGTCCAACATGAAAATTTCCAATAACTAAGTGGTGTGTCTGCTTAGGGAATGTGTACTATTTTCATTGACTTTAGCTGGGAGATATTTTGTTAAGAGCAATAGACCTTTGGTTTTAAGGTGATAGGAGGGATGATTTCCTCTAAATATAAAGTCAATGTAAGATATTTAGCTTCTACCACAATTTAATGTGGCAATCTGAAGCTTAAACTAAACTTTGTCATTTTTTTTCTTTTATTGAAGATTTCTCGTATGGAATATGTCCATTCAAAGAACTTGATATATAGAGATGTAAAACCTGAAAACTTCTTAATAGGACGACCTGGAAACAAAACCCAGCAAATTATTCATATTATAGATTTTGGTTTGGCAAAGGAGTATATAGATCCAGAAACAAAGAAGCACATACAATATCGAGAACACAAGAGCCTTACAGGAACAGCTAGATACATGAGTATAAATACACATTTAGGAAAAGGTACGTGTGCTTTTTAAGTGCAGAAACAAGAATTCAACAGCTGTCATTTGTCTGAAATCATCTTGTTTTCAAGCTGTAATTCTTCTCAGTCTGTAGCCATTAAGAAGTGTAAGTTTTGTGCACTGTGTAAAATTATAGTTTGTCCTTATGGAAATACTATTTATGGGAATAAGCTTCTCTGTGTCATGTCTCAGCAAGTAATTATGTTATTATTGTTAGATACCCATAAAAGAAGGATGAGGTGTATCTTTTTGTATCATAACATCTTCGCATTAGAAGTACACCATGGTGGGATGGGTGGGAAGTAGATATGCTTATTAAAGATATCAAAGTGAATAGATTGCCACAAAATAGATTTTTCAATGCTACCTTGCCAGTTTTTTGATCCCTTTGAAATGCATAATGTCGTGGAATAAAAGTAGGTTATATTTGATGCTTATTTCTTGGTTTTTGTAATGCTTATACTGTCAGTGAGGCTTTGTCAGAGTAGTTGAACGTTATGCTAGTGTAAATGTGATGAGCTAAAGAAAAGATATGTGGAGCGACATGAGTTGTTGTTATAGAATGAATAAATTTAGTTGGAAAAAGGTATGTGAGTACTCAAAGCAGTCTGTTTATTCCAGTTGTATAGAGGTTTTCTAGTGAAAACAGGTTTTACACTTTTGAATTTGTGTAAATCAGTTGCTTATCATTGCATGGTAATCACCGTTTAGGTTGCTCTTTCAATAGGTCATAAAAAATGTTGCACAGTACTTACAGTGCAAAGGTACTTCATGTTAATATGGCAAATGAGAAGTCATTCACATTTTCCAGATAGTAAGAAGATACTTTATTGATAAAATCAGACCATAATAGGCTGTGGTCTGCATCTGTAGCTGATGAAATGGTGTTATCGTGTAGAATCGTGGAATCATTTAGATTGGGAAAGGCAGTTAAGGTCATTGAATCCAACAGTTAACCTAACACTGCCAAGTCCGTTGCTAAACCATATCGTTAACCGCCATGTCTACATGTCTTTTGAATATCTCCAAGGATTGTGACTCAGCCACTTTCCTGTGCAGCCTGTGCCAACGATAGCCCTTGATAGCCCTTCCGGTGAAGAAATTTTTCCAAAGATCAAATCTAAATCTCCCCTGGCACAACTTGAGACCATTTTCTCTTGTCCTATTGCTTCTTACTTGTCAGGAGACTGACACCCACCTTGCTACAACCTCCTTTCACATAGTTGTAGAGGGTGATAAGGTCTCCCCTCAGCCTCCTTTTCTCCAGGCTAAACCACCCCAGTTCCCTCAGCCCCTGCTCTTAAGACTTGTTCTCTAGACCCTTCACCAGCTTCGTTGCTCTTCTTCGGAGATAATGTGGTACCTCAAATGTTGTTCAATTTCATGTTACTTTTTTCATAATAAAGGCATAAGAAGATTTCCTTTAAATGGTAATAATTAGGCAAGTGTGTTCAGCCTTCATGCCATTTTTTAAAAAGGAATGGAGTTACATTGTCCACACGCAAAAAATTTTTTATTTAATCACTGTGAGGCACTTCTGCCTGTTTCTGCTTTTCTCCAGGTGCCTGCCTTAGTCTTAAAATAAATTGGGATGAAAGACCTGTCTAACTTTCAGGACTGCTAAACTGACTGCAGATAAGCCTTCTCTATGAAAATGTAGAGAAAGAATATTTACAATGACTGTTTAGTGCATCCCATGGCAAATGTAGATCTGTGCTGTCCTGAAGTGCTGTTGCATGATGTTTTGTAAACAAACTTGGGAAATCTGCAGCATATCCAGACAAGTTAAAGAATGTGAAGCTTTTTCAAATTAAACAAAACCTCCAAATCTTCAAAAAGGATACAAGGAAGACTTAAGCAGGTACAGTTGGCTGATGATGAAAAGAAGGTGTTTTTCTATGTTGACATTTCAAATGACTATTGATTTCACATGGCCAAACATTACTTTATCATCTAAAATTAGTTTTTAATTGTATTTCAGCTGACTTGCGTCTCTGCATCGTCTAGCTTCCTAGTTTCTCCACAGAGAAAGCTGAAGGGTTTAATTTCGTGATGTGCAAACCTATTCTGCCATTCATTCCAGATTTTGCCTTGAGTTGATCTTGCTTCCTCCATGCAGATACCTAAAACAACCTCAGATTTCTCCATTAAGTAGGGACAAAAAGGCAGGTGTAACTATGGCTATTTTATGTATCTGTATGTAAGATTAACAGTGTGTCTAAGGTCCCCAGATTATTAGAAGCATACGGTCAGAAATCACTGAATCGGAGAATTGCTGAAAGATGATCCCAGTCGTTTGATAAGAGTCATTTTTGGGTGGTGTACACTTAAATTTAAAGAACTTTTTACATATTTACACACTGCATATTTTATTCAAGGAAACGGAAAAAGTGCTGTTTAGTGTGTAACTGTCTTGCCTTTATATCTGATAGCTAAGTTTGGAGGCAGCCTTTTGAGTTGCTTTTCAAAATCTCGTTGGTAGTCTCACATGCTGGAAGTATCTTCACAGGGTGGCTACCTTCCTTACATGCATGCTTTTGGGGAGAAGTCCTGAAAATAAGATGAAATAGTAGTGGCTTCCCTTTTTAAAGGTGGGGTATTGGGCTCTTGTGCTCATCCTTTTGTTTTTTTGGTATTGCTTCTGTAGAAAGTGTAGAATTAATTACAGTAAGGAACAGATATTTGAGATAGTTTCTGCTACATATATGAAGCAGTGGTGTAATTCTTTGTACTTATATATCAGGAATGCACAAATTTGAACATTATTATTTGTCAAAGAAACATATTTAATATCTAGAATATAAGTAAGTCTTGTGAAAAGCAATCAAGACCCTTGGCTCTGTGAGCATCCTGGAATACAGCTTGCTTGGCTGAGCTTTGTAAGCAGGTTTATACATAATGGAGCAGCTGTGAAAGTTACCCAGCTTACTTTTCTTTTTCTAAGACTAAAGCTTTTGTACATAAACTTTTTATGTTGATTGACTTCTTTAACTGTAGTGTTGTAGTTGAACAGATGAAATGAAATAGGTGAGAAATGTCTTACTTTTGCTGGCAAGTTGAGTCTTGGTAGTTTGAGGGAATAATAGTATAGTAGTATATATTCTGGGTAATTTAAATATAATGAAAGACATCCCACACCACTTACTCATCCAAAAATACACTGTATATGAAGCTGGCCTTAATTCTGTATCTGTTCACATAAGTATGTGTAAAAAGTAATTGAACTATTGTAAGCTTGTCATGTTTGCTAGGTTTATTGTTACTCACCAAATAAAGGCTGAAACTCCATTGTTGTTAAGCTCTACTAGAGCCAAAGAGCTTTAAGATTAGATTAAATGATTTTTCATTTAAAGAATAATAGTATAAATTCTAGTATGTCCTGATAGTATCATGAATGTTTAACACTGAGAACAATTTAAAAAACTTGATAGTAGGGTTTGAGCTTTCTAAACAAAACTTTTAGGACAGAAATTCCTCAAGTGAAGAAAGCATTTACTTTATTTTTCAGGCATGGTGTACCAAGATGGTGTCAGGTTATGGTGATACAACCAATTTTGAAATCAAATAAGCTTTTTTTAGTCCTTCTTAAATAACAACATCGCCCCTCTCCCCGTCATATAAGAAAGTAAAGCAAAACATAAACCTGGTAATTACTTAAAGTATATAATGGAATTTTGAGGGCATTACATGGCTGATATTAACACAGGAACATAGTAAATAACACTTTTTCCTTCACGGGAGGCTTTTACACTTCTTAGATAGAATCTTGATCTCTGGTTGGACAGGTTTATTATTTATTTTTTGTGTAAGTTGTAGACTTTGTAACTTGTTTATTTTGTATGAAAAATTTAACTTGTGTATCATAGCTAGTTCTGTACCACTCAGCCTGATGCCATGACAAAGCTAAAACTCTTTTCAGTAGCTTCTATCACCTTTCTGTAGTAAGTCGTCTTTTTACAGGAGATTCTCAAATATATAGATATAATTCTTAAAAGTAGATGGAAAAGGTTTAGTACGCCTTTCTGAAATATTTACAGTGATCATGTGATAACTGCTTCAGTTCAGACTCAGAGCAGTAGTTCTTCTTGACCTGATTATTTTGCAGGCATTTCTTGGGTGACGGAGGACTACTCGTCCTGAGCTCTTAGATCTAACACACACTGTGCAGTCTGAATGGGGCTCTTACTTTCATAGCCTCTCCTTTATGCGGAGTTAATTTTTTTCTGTAAGTTCTGTGATTCCCCTCTAAAAATGTACTGAATTGTTGTCCGGGTTATTTGGCTGCAGGAAGTGTAGTCATGTACAGTTGTAATTGCTATAATATGGCTGTCTCTAATGGTCGCTGTGGAACAACCAATATCCTTGGCTGTATTGTCTTTTGTTGGTGGTGCTTAATTATTGAAGAGGCAGAGGTTAGTTATCTTGCAATGAATGTCTGAGACTCTTGGGAGTGAAACAACTCTGCTCTTTAATGCTAATTGAAAGGCCAAATGAAGTCAATTTCTGTAAACAGTACTTATCTTCAAACAAAACCAAAAGAACCCCACCCTTACCTTTATAGTAAGCTCTGTTATCAGAGCTGTCATATATTCTAGATTTTAGATCAGTTATTTAGAGGTCAGAGTTCTTTGTAATCTAAACCTGCAAAAAATTATTCTACTTTGGATCATTTTTAATGCATTTTCTATTATAAGAAAAATAAACATTTGGCCCTAAAATTGTATTAGCCTAAATCCTGAAGTTATTCCAGAAACTCAAAGGAAAGGAATGTTTTCTGCAGTTACAGGCTGTGCTTTGTGGTGAGGGTCCTCCAGGACTCCTAGCAAGTTTTACTTGTCACTGTGGCAGTGGTGCAGGATGAAGTCCTTTACCAGACCTAGGACCCCCATATGAAGTTGACTAGTCCCCTTCTCATACCCATGGAATTATCATTGGACCTCAGGAATAGCCATAAATATGAAACAATGCTTCTAATACAAACATTCTATGATTCTAATACAAACTGAGCTAAATATCTTTGCTCTCTTAAATAAAGGTATAACTGAAAATAGGATTTTTTCTGTAAAGTCCTCATTATTCTTAACACAACAGTATGGCATACGATGTGTGCTTATGATGTAATTGGTATACAGCTTCATTTTTATGAACCATTTTTATTAACTTCAAGATTCGTAATTTTGTTTGGGAAGGGATGCTGTTCTTTCCCGCAGATTATATTGTTGTATGGAATCATATCATTTTCAGTAAGACTACAAACTCTGCGTCATAACTTTTAAATGTATTTTTGCTACATTTTATAGACTGACAGTTGAGGATATGTCAATTGTCACCTTCCATCTACTTTGTGATTACAGTAACAGGTGTGTGTATCAAACTGTGTAATCATCCTGGTAGCTAGTACTATGTTTTCTGATCCAAGGAGATAGTGTGTTCCTACTGTTTCAGCATTCCTGTAGTAAGCAGTAAAACTTTCTTTGGGGGGGGGGAGTGCAGTGTTTATAATGGATGCTTACTGAAGATTGAATGTCTGTTGTTTGATCTGTGTTATGGTTAGTTCATTTTGTATGCTTAAAAAAAAAGAAAGATAATTTCTGGAGATAGCCTGCTGAGTGAGGTTCTAGTTCTTAATAAAATCAACCTATTTGAATAGAGATGATCAATTTGTATAAAACTTGTGAACTAAATAGCAGGTAATAGTTTCTTACTAATTTAACTAGCTTTGGGTTACCGTCTTGAGAGAGGAGGCCATGTGCCCTAAAGTTTTATTGTGTTTGTTATCTTATGATCATATTACCCTTTATGCAACAGATCCTCTCAATCTCATTAAATTGTGATGCGTTAGGATTACCATACTTCAGCAGCCCTTCCTCCAGCTGGTCCATGAATCCTGCTGTGTTCCAGGTAGTCCACTGCTACAGCTTTTTTCCAGTTTTCAGAGGTCCTTCTTCCAACAATAGCAATATAAGATTTGAGTTTCCTGTTTCTCAGGCTTATCTTGAAGAATTCCATACATAGGAAAGGATATTTGACTACTATGTTTTAATTACTCCAAAGTGATCAGTGAAGAACTCGTATGGATTCTAAGTAACAATTTCCTTCCCCAAAAATTAAAAAAAAAAAACCAAACAAAAAATAACCCTTTCCTGTAGCAGATTCTTGAGCGCATTGTGAATTCAAATGGTGTACCCTAAAACTAATTCCCATAGAACTACAGAATTATCCTACTACCATCCTACAGAAGTATCTCAAATGATCCAAAACTCATAGGAAAAAAAAAATCATCTTGATTAGAAATTGTTTCAGGGTGAAGGTTGAAAGTTTATCCTAGAAAGGATTGTCAGTGGAGGAGTTATTGCTTCAGGGTTTTGTGTGCGTGTTGCTTTTTTTTAAAGAAAGGAGAAGAGATTAATTTTTCATCAGCGTAAGCTATAGAAGTTAATGTGAGAGAAATTATTGTCCCTTAGCAAAGACCAAATAGAGCTTTCTAATATGTTTTTGTGGGCCATACCTTAGTGTTGCCCATAGATGGGCCATCTGTTGCACACTTGTAACATTTTTGTATGCTTTGCCACCATTTTACCACTGAACTGTCTTATATAAAACACACACTGCATTGCACAAAATGTTTGTTGTGAGCAGTGTTTGTGATGTACTCGTTATCTCCATATCCACCCTATCTCACAAAGAGCACAGGATTTCTGCAGGCAACTGGAGTCAACATTTCTGTCATGTACAGAAACCTGTCAGGCACAGAACTCTACTGCTTATTCCTGCTTTCTTTTTAAACTTGTGGTTGCATCAGGATAGCACATGGTCAGCAAATGGGATGTTGCAGGGTTGGCAGAGAAGTTCTAATAAGACCTGATTGTCTGGAGATCCCTCGCTGAGGAAAGTGGAAGCAGTGGAAAACAAGTAGAGGAGTTCGGGACAAAGAAGAGCGTTAGCAAGGAAACTGAAAACGTGGAAACAAGTGAAGGAGAAATGGCTGTGAAAAAGCCCCATATGGCTAGCAGATACGTGATGAAGTAAGGAGCTAGATGTAGCCTATGCTCTGAATTACCAAACATTTTTTTTCTTACTCATTTGTTAGTATGTGTTTACTCAGTGTTCAAGTGAGAAGACAGGAATAGAAAACAGAGTAATTAGTAAGCTGTTCTTTTTATATGAAGATTAAGAATTGTTTTTCAGATGCAGTGTATTTGTGGCAATATTTTGTGTAGGTCAGATCAAAGCCAGGTTGACTTTCTTAGCTTCCCTGTGTTCGAAATCTAACAAACAGTTTTTTGTTTACTTTTCTGCTCCATTTTTCTTGCTGTCAAAGCATAATGATTTTGTCTTTGTGAACATACTGAGTAGAATCAATGTTAATATTATGGTTTTCTGCCTTGTTTCAGGGGGAAATAAAAGTTGGAGGGAAATACTACCTGTTACTACAAAACATAATGCAATGTGTAACAATTGTTTCGACAGCAGTATAGAATGAAGTCAGGTGAAAATGTAAAAATCTGTTTTCTGCTAGTTATTTAAAGACTTTTACTATTACTCTGTTACGTTCAGTTTCCCCAAGAATAATGGATTTTATTTAAAAAATAATATAGAATGTGCTTTGAAAACTTTGAATGCACTGCGTTTTGCTTGTTACGTTCCTTTTTCTTTAACCTTCAGTGAATTTTTTGAAGGACTGCCACTACTCTACTCTGGATGAAAAATAGTAGCCATGCCAGACATGGTGTTCTGTAACTTAGCTTTTAAGTCAGCTAGTCTTGAGAGCAGGCTGTATGTACATGCCTCACTATGCTGCTTTCTGATCAATTCATTAGGCTTCTGAGGCTTCTTCAGTCCACCTTTGGCTTACTCAGAAATTCCATAAGAGGTCTGTGAGAAAAGTACCATCTTTTCCATGATTTTTTTGAGGAAAAATGGGTTCAATTAAAGCTTTCTTAAGTTATTTCAAGTTCACAACTAATCGATCAAAAAATACTGAAATTAAAATGCATTTATGTATGTAAAAGGTCAAAATATATTTTAAAAGAAGAAAAATTTCTTACAGCAAGGTAATTTGTTTAAAGTACTGTTGAGATGAATATTCCTGCAGTCTGTGTCTACTTTTTTTTGGTTTAGCAGTGTTCTTAGTGGAGTCCACAGTACACAAGAAGCCCCCTCCTTGTTTGGTTTGATTTCACGTACTTTATACTTCCCAATTATTTGTACATAATTTGGAAGCTAACCTTTTGAATATAATGTAAAACTACACCAATTGAATGTTCTGATATTATTTGAATTTTATTTCAGAGCAAAGTAGAAGAGATGATTTGGAAGCTTTAGGTCATATGTTTTTGTATTTTCTCAGAGGAAGCCTTCCATGGCAAGGTTTAAAGGTACGGGATTTTTATATCTTCCTCTACCATATTTTCAGATCACCTGCTTTTCTTGCCATGATTTTTTTCTTTTTGAAAGTTTGTCTGCAGGCTGTATAGCTTCAGGAGCTTCTTTTGTTCTTGTATCATAGGCTGATACATTAAAAGAACGTTACCAGAAAATTGGAGACACAAAACGAGCAACGCCTATAGAAGTGTTGTGTGAAAACTTCCCAGGTAATGTCTACTGTTAATAAAAATGTTGTGTATTGATTTAGAAAACAAAATTGGCATAGATAATTGTTTAACATCTGTGTTTAAAAATAAAATAATGCTTCCAAAGATGTGTATTATATCCTATGGTAATAGATACAAGAATTATCCTCTGAAGCAGTAAGCTCATGCTGATGTTCTTCAAAGACAGATTCTTCTAAAAGAAAGAAAAAAAAAAAAGAAATTGATACAGTTAGTCTGTGCTAGTGTCTTTCCACACAAAATTCTGCAAGTCTTTTCAACTCAAATCTGGTATCATCCCTTTTTAAAACAAGCTGCCTTGGGAACAGCTTGAAATTGTATTTAAAATAACTTGCAAGTAGTTTCAGATGCAACTTCTACTTCTCGTTGAGCGCGTGGAGAATTAGTGAGTATTGGAAAATTTAAGAGAAGCAAATATGACATTTTTTAAAAGTTGGACTAATCAGCTTGGGGCAAGGGGCACACACGCATATGACATGGACATGATTTTGCCAAAATAAAATTAAACACCTTGAAAAGTAATCATAGATATCATTGATAGGCAAAATGGATTTGCTGAGAACTGCTCATGACAAACTGATTTGATATCCTCTTATGAAGGGATATCCTGTTCACAGCAGGCCTTGTGGACAGGCGGCAGATGTTTTGTGTCATGAAATCTTGGTACTTTAGCTTTTGACACTTTTTAAAAATTTCTTCACAGGTAGTGTTTAAAGCATAATGAAGAGGAACATACTATGGCAAGGAAAATGTAAAACAATTTGAAGCAATTAAGTACATTGCTGCTGAATTTAAAACACGAAATGGTATTCCACAGAGATCTATGTTGGATCTGTTCAGTATTTTTGAGTGCCTTGTGTAAATGAGAGTGTTTATTAAACTTGCAAGTGATAGTGTTATGCTGCTATATTTTTTAGAACAAATAAGCAAGCCCTCTAATAAATTGCATTGTATAAACAAAATATAGCCTGAAAGACACATGAATTCCATTTCTACTCTGCTTGATTCTGTCAAGCCTCAAGCTGAAGCAGTATATTCAATTTTGGGGACTGTGAAGTGGGAGTGCTTGTATGCTCTGTTTGCTAGACCTATCACCAAAAACTAAAGGAATGAAGGATCATTTAGTCTGGATTGTGGTGGAAAGAAGTTCCTCTGTACCTTTTGGCCGCTACAAACATGAAAGATATCAGTTTGATACATCCAAAGCAGCTAGGACAAAGTAATGAATGTCATCCATAACAGTTATGTTTAGACTTGAACTCCTGTGTTTCAAATACAGTGAAGAGCATGAAGGGATTGCTGTTGCCAGGGAGACTATGCAGTGTCCGTTGCTGAAGTTGTGTGTAAACAAACCACACAGACAAGGCTGTAACCAATTTGCTGTGGGATAGGGTGGTGTACTGTACAGCCTTTTGAGGTTCTTTTTAACCCTGTGGTAAAAACTAGTCCATTATCAATTTTTTGTACCTTTTCATTTCACCTTCTGTGTATTAAAAAAAATTCAAGTGAAAATGACTTTTGTTACAGAACTTAGAGCAAATGTCTGAACATACGTTTGGTGAAATGACATAAATTTTTAAATGTGGTGAAGAAAACCAGTTCTGGAATATAAATCTGCATCCAGTAATGCATGCATGTTTTGCAAGTTCATTTTTATGTAGTGGCTAGAATCCTTTAAATACCTAATTTAAGGTGTGTGTGGTGCAATTCCTGGAAATAATTATGCGTGAGCAGCTCTGTGGATCTAGTGAACTGTTTCCACCAGACTTAATCAAGTACGTGCTTGTTGACAGGATTGGATCTGTAAATAGAACAGGAAAAAGATACTTGAACTGGAAAACACAAAAGATAATGTCTTTTGACAGTACACACGTACATTTTCAAAATAAATATATTGTTGTATGCGGAAGGTTTTGCATGCTAGGTGTCTGAGGATTTTCTACCTTTTTCTATCGTTCTTGTCATTTAAGACATAGAATAGAATGAGCAGTACATCCACCATCATTTTGATTCTTTTAAGTCAGCTTGCAGACTGAGCTAGCTGACTGATGCTCCATAAGGCATGAGAACTCTAGTATCATTGAAAGATATTTTGGTCTTTGTGACATGAAACACTTACCTTTTCACTCCCTGTGGAATTCTACTGTCTGGAGTGTGCAACACTACTGCCGTTTCAAGCATTGTAGAAAATAAGAGCAAGGATTTAAACTTCTTTTTTTCCACTTGATATGCATGATAAAGATAGTATTTGATTTTTTGAGCCAGCCAGTTGTAACAGATCAACTGCATTAAATAGCTCAGTTCCAGCCTTCATACCTCTGAAGACATACCTTGCATGCTTGGAGTTCCAGTTTACATTGGGAAAGTATGGTTAGAAGAGGTCCCTAGTGATGTGTCAGCATTTCTCTTCACCTTCTTCAGACATTGATCTTGGCTAGTATTGCTGAAATCTTGCTTGTCTGCTGAGCTGGACCTTGGGTGCCAAGGAATTCCTCCTATCCACTGCTCCATCTGCTCATGCCTAAAACACAGTGCTTAATACTCTGTTGTCAGAATGGAGTAATTTGGGATGTCTTGGTACCACTAACGTGATGCTGCCTCACAACATTTTGTTATGAAGCTGGTCTCAAAGCTTCACTTCTCTCCTTTCTACTACACTATCTCTGAAAGAGTTTGACTGAGCATAGCTCAGTCTTAGCACTGCTGCTGCGCTTCTCAGCCATCCTCTGTCAGAAGATAGGCTTCTTAGCACCTTATTTGTATCATGAAGTGTCAGCTTCTCCAGACTTGCTGGAATGTGATGTGTGGATCAGGGTGAGTGTGCAGTGGTACTGTTGTGCTGCTTCTGACATACATACCTCTTCATAGGATCAGTGAATGCTGGTGGCATCTACTTTTAATCTTGTTCATCCTTTGATTTTCTGGTCATATAGAGGTGCCTTGTCTTGTACTTTGCGACCATGTGAGCAGCCTTTTTGGTTTGAAAGTGAGGAGTCATTGCTTTTCTCAGAATGGCTTGCCCGTGGGTGGTTTCCCACCCATGAGCTACAAATTTTCCAAAGCAAGTTAGATTTTAAGAGCTCTGTCCACCTGGAACTTATGTCCCAGGATTCAGGTCAAGTGCTTCCCTTGATCCATATCAGATTGTGAGAAGGTGTTGCAGTACTCTGTTCCAAACCACTGCCGTCACTTTTGGTGTTTTTTTTCAGTCTGAATGAACCAAAATGTCAGTATGGTTAGGTTGTCGCTCTCTTTACCCTTCCAGTACTTCAGTTCTTTCTTGTAATACCTGCTGGAGTGGAAGGACCTGTAGGACTTGGTCTTTTGTTAACATTTATCAATTCTCACCACCTACTGTGTTCTCAGACTGTTCTATTTCCACATGCCCCTCATTTTGCTGATTCCTGAAGGAGTTAACTGCAGATGTAGTCGGATATCTGAGCAGATTCTCAATGGGATTTGAAACTTATGCTTCAGATGTTCATGGGTTCTCCCTTTCAGCTCTTGTATTCTTGTAGTCTTCTGTCTATAAGGATGCTTGCTGCCTACAGCTGTTGTCTCGGAAGCCTTTGGTGGCTTAAATCCATTGTCAAGAATGGCACTTCTGTAGGCTCTACTTACCTGCCAAGAGGTTTGTGCTGGAATTCTTGTCTCAACTTGAAGGTTCTGGCTACTAGTGCACAGGACTACATACACCTTAACGACTAGGAAAGCTCTTTCCTTGTAGCTTTAAAGGTCCAGGCCCTTTCAGAAATCTCCCTGGCTGTCTCCACTACTGGGAGAATCTTAAAAAAGTGTACATGTGGAGCCTCTCTGAAAGAAAGGAAGGTTACATTGCGGTAACAGGTGTTCTTAGAGACATATCCCACCCTGTACATTCATATATTCCTGCTTTACCTTTCTGTAGCCTTGCCTTTATATAATTAATTGAAAAAAAAAATAGAAGGAAGCATTTCTCTCCCCATATTTCTCTCACACTGCATCAGCATTGGAAGGTTGAATGGAGGATCTTGACAGGTAATGTGAAGGGAGAATTAGTGAGGGTGTCACTTGGTAGGATATGTTTAGAATATGGCAGTATATCTTGAAGAATACTATTAATATTAAGCAACCTTTCTGGTAGTTCACAGATTCATGATGAACAACTGTTCAGGGTTTATGGTGAGAACTAGAAGTTGCTTTAAAATGTAATAATAAGTACTTTTTTTTGAGTGCTATTAAAACAGATATGACAACTATGTACATTTCTTATTTATATAGAAGAAATGGCTACGTATCTACGTTATGTAAGACGACTAGATTTTTTTGAAAAGCCAGACTATGACTACTTAAGAAAGCTCTTCACAGACTTACTTGATCGGAAAGGCTATATGTTTGATTATGAATATGACTGGATTGGCAAACAGTTGGTGAGTACGATTAAGCTAGCAATAATAGACTGGTTTTTTTGTGTGATCAGTTTTGAGCCAGTGTTAGTCTTGAGTTTCAGAATACATGTGCATCTCATGGCTGCTGTTAAAGTTGTGAACAGCTGCTATTACAAACCTGTTTTCAGATGCATTTTCAAACATTGTCTTTTGGCTTGAGAAGTTTCATAATGAGTCTCTTTCCAAGCGTATTCTCCTAATATAAAACTAAATCTCTGTTCAATGGTTATGGTTTTGCCTGGATGAATGCCAGGTACCCACAAAAGCTGTTCAGTCACTTCCCTTCCTCAGCTGGATAGGGGAGAAACAAAATATTAAAGGCTCATGGGTTCAGATAAGGACAGGGAGAGATCACTCACCAATTAGTCGTGGACAAGACAGATTAAACTTGGAGGAAAAAGAAGTTTAATGTATCACCAATCAATCAGAGCGCTTCCTCTTCAGGGGGAGGACTCCTCACACTCTTCTCTGACTCCAGTGTGGGGGCCCTTCCACAGGAGACAGTCATCCATGAACTGCTCCAGTGTTTCCTGGTAGGAGGTGCTCCAGGGCAGGCTCCCCGCAGGGTCACAGCCTCCTGCAGGCATCCACCTGCTCCAGTGTGGAGTTCTCCATGGGCTGCAGGTGGAGATCTGCTCCACCGTGGACCTCCATGGGCTGCAGGGGCACAGCCTGCCTCACCATGGTCTTCATCATGGGCTGTGGGGAGATCTCTGCTTTGGCTCCTGGAACACCTCCTCCCCCTCCTTCTTCTCTGACCTTGGTGTCTGCAGAGTTGTTTCTCTCACATCGTCTCACTCCTCTCTCTCGACTGCTGTCCCACAACAGGTTTTTTACTTGTTAACTGTGTCATCCCAGAGGTGCTACCACCACCACTGATTGGCTCGGCCTTGGCAAGTGGTGGGTCCATCTTGGAGCTGGCTGGCATTGTCTCTGTCAGACACAGGGGAATCTTCTGGCAGCTTCTCACAGAAGCCACCCCTGTAGCCCCCCCTCACTACCAAAACCTTGCCACAGAAACCCACAACATCAATCCTAAATGAGGTTGTAGGAATTCAGCCTGACTTTTGAGTTGAAGAAGGAGTTTAAAACTTTACAGGTGATTGTCATTGCATGCATTTTCTTGCTTTGGTGGCTTTCTTGCTCCCAGTATTTTTGAAATGTAAAGCAATCACTTCTCTGCATCTAAGATACACTCCAGATATTTATCAGTTCATTATGAAGAAACTGTCTATATGCATTTTTCTAATTAAATATGATGTAGGGTATCAGTTTCCATCACAGTGCATCTAAAATTACAGAAAATTCTGTGTTTATATTCTTTAAAGAAAGGGTAAAAGATTAATTTTTCAGCACCTCCAATCTTTCCTTGCTGCCTTTTAATAAGTAGGGAAGGGGTTGTGTGTGGAAGTTGAACAATTTTGGATTTTATTACTAAATATTTTTTTGAAAATTTACTATTAAAAATTACTTTAAGCCTTTCTTCAGGCTTGCATCAGAATGTGCTAACTGCAGAAAATATCAACCTAAAGTCTTTCAGAAAATTAAAGTCTGATAATACTTCAGAACTGCTACTTTGTGAAATTGTGTAAGTCTTGGTTTGCCTTTTTTTCTGTTGGTATTAGTAAATATCTAGTGAAGCTTTTGCTTTAGTTTGGTAATTTAGGGTTATGGAAAACTGTCAGATTTAAAGATTAATTTCTATTACAAACCAGTAACTTTTGGTAAGACTTAGAAATTTATTTTTTTTACCAGTTGCTACATATTATTTATATTTGTAGCCTACTCCAGTGGGTTCAATACATTCAGACCCTGCACTGTCTTCAATCAGAGAAGCATATCAGCACAGAGATAAAATGCAACAATCCAAAAATCAGGTAAACTGCTCCTGCAAGATAATCAGCATTGCTGTCTGTTGTATAACAACGTGCTATGTTGTTGCTTTTATTAAAAGTCCAAATTAAAATTGACTCTATGTTCTCTTTGTTTTTTCTCTGATTTAGCTAGATCCTTATTAATGCAGTTCTAAATCTGTCGACCTGAAGATACCTAAAGGGTTGCATGTTTGGTGCTGTGATGGGATGTAGCTTACATCAGTAATGAATTTTCTCTCTGCTGATACTTCAATTTTTTTTCAATTCTTAGTTTTTAATCACTGTCTCTTCCCCATATGCTTTATCATTTGTTGGAATTCTAACATGTATATGTAAAATTTTCACTCTTTTTAAACCAGGATAATGGTGAAGGTGGTAAAAACGTTAGGAATTTAGATCTGTGTCCATTTACCTAAGCTAAGTTGCTGGGTTGTGTTGGTGAACTTTGTTTCTTACTAAGAATTTTGAGTTTTAGCTACTTTACTTCTCTATGAACAAGTATGTGTAGGCATACATAAGTCTGCAGATAATGTTGATGTACAATCTAAGTAGGAATTGAGTATGTAGTGCTTCTGTACTTTTAAAAGGTAATATTTAACAATTAAAGCATGAATTGTTTATTTCTGGAATTTTTATTTCTTCTTTTGCATATATTCCTAATGCATTAAAAAATGATAGTCGACAGACCATAGGGCAGCTTGGGACTCACAGCAAGCCAATCCACATCGTTTGAGGGCTCAGCTAGCAGCTGACAGACATGGTGGCTCGGTACAGGTATTTTCTGCTTCTTTGCATGACTTAATCAGTCATTTTACATTATATAATACTACTTTCTTGTGGTGCATGACAGGATTCCTGTTTTCATATTAAGCTTGCTTTCCAGTAATGTTCAAAATGTTCCTGTTATTCCCTACTTCACAACTGCCAAAATGAAAACTATGGATTTTTGTTTATGTGGATTTTCTGCTACACATTTCTTAGTGAAAACCTAAAACAATGGAACTATCTCTCTTTCTGAAGGGGATATACACTGACATCAGTGGAAGCAACTGGAGTTTAGACTTTTGATGTGTTGTTTAGTCATATTAGTAGCTAAAACACTATTGATTGAATTCAGCGTTGTTCAAGTTTTTTTGTTGTTCCTTAAGCAAACTTCAAATGAAGGTGTGAAGTAGTGATTTTTGCCTAAACTTTACTACATTTGTTCAAACAATAGTTGACCAGAAGAATGTTTCCTAGGGCAGCACTTCACACTTATCAGTGGAAAAATGAGTCATTGCTCATCTTCGTCATCAGTTCTATGCTGAATTGTCTGCTTTTCTGCCAGATACGAAAATCTGGCAGATAATTTCATTTTAAAGTGATAACAGAGTATTTTTTAGGTCATTGCTACTAGTCGTCTGTAATACTACTGCTGATGTCATCTCTGAGATCCTTTTGTAGATGATTATTAGAATGTGCTAGTGATTCTTCACTGTGACGTATTAAATTCAAGTGGACTGAATGTTGGTATGTGTGTATATATATGTATTAGTATATATTTTTATGCTCTTATCATTGATGTTCAAATGGGAGACATTCAGGTTCTAAATGGTTTGTTCATTAATAGTACTTATTCTAGTTTTTCTATTAAGTTATCCAAAAGTCTCTAGGCTTATGCGAGAGATACACTAATGTGCTTAATCGTGTCTAATTTCACTTTGTAGCATCAGTTCATGTTTACAGTTCGAATACTATTAGCAAATGGAGTTATAAAGGGAAGACCTCTAGAAACAGTTCACATCTCTTCCTCCACTTATCTGTTTAAAGTAAGATAAAAATGCTGCAGTGTGGCAATCTGTCTTTCTAATTTGTGTAGCCTTATTAGTGAGAGCAATTTGCACCTCCCAGCAATTCATTCAGCAACTTCCTGTGTCTTTATAAGTTTCAGTTCCCAAAAATGTCAGTTGTACAACACTGAATTGTTTCCTTTTCTGCATGAACTGCTAACTGCTTATGCAGTCATAAAGACTGTACAATCTGTTAATTACTTTTTTCATCACTTGCTAGCTGATCTCTTTCCTCTTACCCTTTCTCTTTTTGTTTTCCTGTTTGGAAATTCTTTACAAGGAGGTTAGATAAAAAGATCAGGTTAAAAAGATCCCAGTTAAGTGCCAGAGGTCTTGAACTTAGGAACTGCTTAGGAAGTGCTTGAAAGGTTAGATATTTGATGTAAGTAATTTTGAGTTGCAAGACACCTCTCCTTCAAGAAGTCAAGATATCAGTGTGTTAGATGAAACAAATCCATTTCCTTAGTTTTTGTGAATTAAAACAGTAGCATGAATTTTTTTGATTCTTTTGTCTTGACTGGAAGCTTTTTGAAGGTAAAATACAGCATTCTGTGGTATCACTAAGAAGTTGCTTAGACATGAAGGCTGCCTCTTTTTTTTCTTTAAGAGTGGAGAATTCAGTTACTGAGATTGGTAATGAAATGAAGGATTATTTTCTATGTCTTTTTCAAATTTTTGCAATTCCTTATTGTGATAAGCATGAAAATCAGAAAAATCTGTGTTATGAGAGACTTTCTGACTGATTTTTGAACATAGCAAGTAGAAGATTAGTTTACATACTAGTCCAAAACAGAGCATGGGGCTAACCTGAAGATTTACTGTTACCATTTGGGGAATTGGTATTCAGGCTTAACTTTGTCTTATTGTACCTGGGCCTTGTCAAACTTCTAAAGGACCATGTACCTAAGAAACTAATCTGTTCCACAATTAATAACTCTCATTATTAGGTAATGTTTCTAGTATTTTAAGTTTGCCTGCCTGACGGCACAGAGGGTAACAAGAAACAGATGATGTGAGGTGTATACTCCTTTATATATGTGCTCTTCAAATTTAACTTCTAAAGAACTGATTAAAATTGAAGTAACTAAACTCAAACCAGGACAAGATCAGTTATCAAAATACTTAAAGTTAATTCAGATTTTCACTTCAGTGGTTAATCTTCCACTTGTATATAGGTGAGTAGCTTAAGTTAATCTTCAACATTGCAACACTTCTAATTGGAAACTTAGTTTCAAAATAGAAGTGTTCAGAAAACTAATTCTTTGACTGTACATGGAAAAGTGTACTTCCTGTTAACAGTTTTTAGAAGCAAAACCATAACTTCAATATCCATGTTTTTCCACTACAGTTGTGTACAAATCTATTGAGATGAATTGTGTGTCCCATCTTTCATCAGCCTACTGAGGAAATCCAACTCTAGTCATAAGTAGAGAAATGAAATGAAAAGTTTCTTTTTAACTTACTCTTGTTCAATTTTGTTACATTCCAACATCTTTCTACCTGTGTTGTGCTGATTTTTGAGATGATTGCCATGTAATTTGAGAGAGAAAAGTCTAGTGGCTGGTCTAACTGAAGTCCATATGCTCCAAGATCAGAGTGTCCAAGTGTTAACACTGCTTCATTTACCCTGTATTGTCAGTCTTTTACCAAACGCACTTTTTGGTCAGGTTGCAGAATATTGTACTGGTGTCACAGGGGATTAATTTATGTCATTATAGATTATTTTAGCAAGGTACAGAACTTACAGTTGTAAGATTATACAGTTGTAGCCTTACTGATAGTGGAACTGAAGCACTCCTGCCTATCTCTTGTGTCCCTTTAAATAACTCTTTGTGGATTTTTTTTTTTAAGGTAAATATTTTGTCTTATTGCACGTGTATGAATTCTTCCTTCTTCATCTTACTGAGACTCCTCCTAGAGCAGTTTTCAGCATTGATAGACTAGATTGAAACTCTGGGCATTTGTGATTCTGGAGAAGCGTGACTGATGCTGTTTTTCAGCCTACCAGTACACTTGGGCCTGCTTATGCTTTCAGAGGTCACAACTCTTTCTAGAAGGATGAACTTTGTTTTCCTAACATCTAAACTAAACCATGCAACAGGCAATTATACTTGACTGTGTTTGGTTGTGTATTTGGTGGATGTATCTGGTGTATGTGTATGGAAAGGACTGAGGTCTCTTTCTCTTGGATCTCTGTCTCTTTGACAGAGATCAGCAAAAGTGAGACAGAACAGTCTTCTGCTATCTGGTGCGAAGGTTTCTATGAAGTTTGTGTCAAAGTTACTTAGAGAAAGCAGTCTTGAACTAACTAAGAAATATGTTAGGACAAATACTGTCTTGAAAAGAAAGATTTCTCCTACTAAGGGAAACCACTGTCAAGAAATACTATTTGGTTTTTAAGTCAACTTGAAGAATTTCAGGGAAAAAAAATCACTGAACAGGTTGTTATAGCTTCCCTGCTTTCTCTTATGTAAGCATATAAACGTGTTGGGAAATCCTGAAATAATCATTGTTCTATATTACCGTATGGCAGTGCATTGACCCAAGCATAAGATTGTTATTGCTCCTTTAAAACTGAAGTCATCTTAGGTTAGTATTGTCACCGAAATCGGGAGGAAAACTCTCTAACACATGATGCATTGAAGAGCAGGCATTACTTTATTCAGTGCTGGCTACATGGGGTATCACTCCTCCTAACATGCACACCAGGTATTGAAGCAGGCATTACTTTATTCCATGTCTTATCAGTAAGTTTCAGCCCACGGAGCAGTCCTGTGTTGCCGATTGGTCGCATCATTTACAGAACACTTGGTCAGCATTTTCACACTGTGCATGTTCAGTGAGTAGAGGTCTGGGAGTCTGCATTCTGAGGTGTGTGGCTTTTAGTATTTTTAGGGGCATATTCATATCTTCTTGTTCTTGCCATGCCCCACATTTACTTGAGTAAACTGTAGACAAAGACTTCTGTTTCTGATAAACCATTGTTACTAAACCTTGAGCACAGGTCTGAGGATCTCTTTAAAAAAGTTCATTTTAAGTGTGGGCCATGGAGCAGAAATCTGGAATGATTAGGACTGCAGGCAAAGTTGACTAAGATCTTAATGGGGTTGCATTGCTTTGTGTGGATAGTGCAGGCTGTAGTTGTGATTAGTTACATAGTTACCCAAAACTCACTTGGTGGACAAGTTGAGCAATGTTATTTTACCCTTAGATTTTCATGAACGATCCTTAGTTACTTAGCAAGTGCTTACCATGCAAATACCGTCTGTTTCCATTGTGCTTACCACTGTTGCAGCCGGGTAATTCACAAGAAGCAATGAAATTATCTCCACAGTAAGATGCCTGGTGAGATGATTGGGATCATACTATTTGCTGTTACCAGTAAATATGGACAATGATGACAACAGATTTTAAGATACTGGTTAAAAAAATGTACTGACCCAGGTTGTTTAGTTTAAGATGCCTGACCAACTGTCTTACAATTTGTTGAAGCAGAATTCCTACCTATTTCTGTCACTGCATGTGTAGTGCATCTGCCATCCCCAATGATATGAAACTAAGCTGAAGCTACCTGGTTGAAACTCCACTGACTTACCTGTCATCACAGAAATAAAGTCCTGTTTCTCAGAATTCCTTCAGTTATATTGATATATTCTTGTCATCTCAGACATCTTCCCTTATGTTTTGTTACTGGCCTGTGGGGTTTTTTTGACAGTGGTTCCTGTTTTAGTGAAACTCAAAAAAGAATAAAACTCAACCTGATGTGGGCATATGACATGGAAAATGGCTTAAGTTCAGCAAACTTCTGAAGCTCTTTCACAGAATCACAGAATCACAGAATGTTTGGGGTTGGAAGGGACCTCTGTGGGTCATCTAGTCCAACCCCCCTGCCGCAGCAGGGTCACCTACAGCAAGCTGCACAGGACCTTGTCCAGGCGGGGCTTGAATATCTCCAGAGAAGGAGACTCCA